ATCACAAAGATCAAATCTTTCAACACAGTCTGGAAACATTTCATAATCAAACTCTATTACTGCTGTGGTGCAGCAATACAAACTTACCTTGCACATTCAAACAAGGTCTTTGCGAGGGTTTCAGACTCGCCATACCATTTCGACCCAAAACTTGAAGAAGTTATGGAAAAGAAAGTGGCTCTGGCCTCGGTTGCCAGGCATTTTCCTGTAACAGTCATACATAGTTGCAACCAAATATGTGATGACAAAACCAAAGAACTGCTCTCATAATACCTTACCAATTAATGTTTTCCCAGTACCTGGGGGACCGAAAAGAAGGAGACCCCTTCCAGGCCTCCTCAAACCTTGGAACAATGCCGGGTTCAGCATGGGATAGACCACCATTTCCTGAATGTGATAAATAAAGGCATTGGCAACATGAGCCTTGCATTAAGTACTCTCAAGTACTGCTCAAATAAGGATAGTGGTCAATACAAACCTTCAAACGCTGCTTCACGTTGCTGAGCCCACACACATCGTTCCAGTACACCCTTCCTGGCTGACAGACATTTGACAAAATTTTTGTGACCATCTTCTCATCCAAGGAACTATTGTGCATCATAACTCGTGTGTGAGCAATAATGCTTCTGTTGCTGCTGGTTATACTGCTTGTCAGTGTCGGTGATGCCTGGAATAAGAAAAGTATTCACACACAAATGTTTTCCATGCATAGAGATTTATACAATAAGACATGATATCAGCAGTTTTCTTCATAAGGCTTAAGTTTGAGCGTAAAACCATTCAGTATTTGATGTATTAAAAATGGTAGCTCTATGACACATGTTATAGTTAATCATTCACTCTCGAAGAGATGCGACTTTTGATAAGCAATAATATAGTATGAATAGGAAAAGTTTACATAAAACAATAAATACCACGGTTTGTCGAGCAGGCATGCTTTTGTTAGTTGCTGTTGTTGACATCATTGGCTCTTCACGCCAGTTCTTATCTTTCTTTTGTTTCGTCTTCTGTGTTCCCATACCATTATTGGACTGATGCCTCTTTTTGCTGTTACTCTTTTTTTGGTGAAAAGATTCATTCGTCTCATTATCACTATCAGATGATATTTGGACAGGGTCAGTGCCGTGTTGGTCATTGGGTGGCTTGACTGAAGTAGATGACCGTAATCTTTTGCGTATGGAAGACTCTGTGGTTGCTGCTGAAGATGGGGCAGCACAGGATGACGACGTTGATTGAGTGAAGATGGGAATGTGTGAAGAAGTTAATGAAATAGATGAGATGGAAGAAGTGGTTATAGAGGATTTGGAGGTTGATGCAAGTATGCAAGGGAGTGAAGAAGGGGTGGTACATGAGACAGAGGAAGTTGTTGCAGAGGATGAGGAAGTTGATGCAACTATGCAAGGGAGTGAAGAAGGGCTAGTACATGTGACAAGTGATTGAGCGGGGAGGGATACTTGTGAAGAAATTGGTTCAGGTGTACATGAGACAAAGGAAGTTGCTGTAGAGGATAATGAGGAAATAGATGCAACTAGTGAAGAAGGGCTGCTACAGGATGTGATGGGTGATTGAGTTGGAAGAGGATTTGAGACTATCAGGGCTGCCGTGGGAGATGGTGAGGTGGAAGAAGTAGATAAAGGTAACTGATGTGGGGAGCGGAAAGAAGATGGGGACACATATGCACGGGGAGCAAAATGAGGAGACGACAGAGTATTGGTGCTAGAAGAGGGGTGGCGGTAGGTATTAGAAAAATTATGATGAAAAGAAGGACGAGAAGGAGCAGGCAATTGATGTGAATGGAATCTGCTGTACTGGAGTGGAGGATGGTACATTCCTGGATATGGCATCCTAAGAGGAGGCGCTGGTGGTCGAAAGAACTCACCACGAGCAATTTGGACACGAGGTCGTGGTGCTGGACCTTCGAATCTTCGATACATTTCTGTAAAAAAAGATGTAATTTTGTGACCAGCCCGACAAGAACCAGCAAAGCAGATGCCTACTTTTAAATGACAATAACAACAAACATACCTCGCAGTTATATTGGTGCAGATATCCAATTACAGATTTTAAGTACACGATACTTTTACTTTTCACGGACACGGAGCTGCTGCAGATATGGTGCTGGCAAGGTGCTGGCGTTTGCCGCGTTTGCCCCTGTTAGCCGCAACAAAACAAATGCGCTTAGAAATGAGAAACTAGCTTATGAAAAATAACACGAACGCGGCGCGGAATGGTGGATCATGGATCACAACAACTCTTTTACTTGAATTATTTTCCCAGTTTTCCTGTTTGGAGTTATAGGACTTTGCTTGTCTGAAATGTAACAACCAGCAAACGACGTGCATATACGCTAGCATTAATATTCAGAGTTGTGATAAACCATTTCTTCATTTAAGACATACAAAATCTGCACAGCAGACAGAGGTGTCGACACATTGGAGAATTCGGACACTCTTCCGCATCTTGTCAAGATTATTTGGTTCATATTATGATGTCAGTACGAGGTAACTTAAACATTTTATCACATATTAAAAAAATGGACTGTTGAATGAAATAATTATTTCCTTAAGTTCACACTGTGGTCCAACATTTAACCTAGAATCTTGTATGTGTTTATCATTTCATTGAATACATCTGTGTTAAATCACGAAGGCATAGGCGATGTGGCAAGCAGGGTGGTGGAAAGAATCACAAAAATGGGTGTTACAACACAATAATTAGTTATTTCAGAATTTAATTAACTATTATAGTTGGACAAACCAGATATAGTGTCAACTCAAAGGGTTTATTTTTTTGCAAACTAAACACACAAAACAAAAAAATAAGAAATAATGAAATAAGAGCACTATATTGTGCTTATTTTTTATGCTTTAATCCAATGTTACCACCTCACTCTTGGTATCTGTATCCTCCAATAGTTCTGGAATGAAAGGAGATTTAATCAATAATACGTAATAGTTTCAATGATAGGAGGGAAACATATAATCCACAGCAATGAGGCATCCTTACCTCTTGGCTTATATAAGCGAGGGCGACCTCGACCACGCTTTGCAGGTAAACTGGTAGACTTAGATCCCCTCGAAGTAATGGACTGAGACTGAGACTTCTTGTTCTTTGATTTTAGTTTAGAAATTTCCTGAAAAGTTGAGACAGGTTTTCATGATAAATTCAGAAGCTGATAATCCCCCTAATAGTGCTAAACGCATTTAATGCATTGGCGCTAAGGCATGCAAGATTAAAATCATTATCTGCATGAGGTTCTCACCAATAGCTTTTCAACCTGTGCATATTCCTTCTTATTCTTCTTTGCATCCCTGTCCTTCTTTGATTTCTGTTTTTTAGCCTTGCTTTTTTGGGGTTTTTCTTTGCCTTCTGACTCACTGCATTGTTAAAGTTAATTTTGGATATCATACTCCGCTCCTAAATAGACCAAAATAACCCAATTTTAACAATGACATCTGCACTATGGGTATGCCAAGGAAAGGGAAATTATAACAAAGGGCAAAACAAGACACTTAGCTTTGTTGGTAGGATGAGGCAGCAAGCAGAACAGCATGACACTACTCAGGTAGTGAATGATAGGGATGGTCCTTTAAGGCAGAAATTTAGAATGCAAATCTGGAAAAGAAAAATCCAAGTTACTATCCTGGACTTCATGTTGCTCCCCACTCTGTCAATATAATACACAAACATGTCTTACCAGGAAGTGCTTTACAAATAAAAGTATACTGGGCATAAAATACTGAAGAAAAG